TGGTTTAGTTGTTGCCAGAGGGGGGGGGGGGGGGGGGGGCAAGGACAGATGGAGAGAGGGAGGGAGGGAGACAAGAGAAATGAGGATTAACAGAGGCACAGGGACCGACGGATAGAGACGACAGAAAGAGCGAGAGACACAAACATGAGGACGTAGAGACAGCGAGAGGCGAACGCAGAGAGGCAAAGGCAGGCTTAACATTTTTTCAGTTTTCTGTTCTTTTTGAGCTCTCTTTTTCTATTATACCTCAAACATCACAGAGATTTACAGGGGTGTCCCCCAGAAAGAGGCGAGGAAAATGAACGAGTGTGATTACATATTACATGAGGCAGCAGTGAGAAAAGGATCATGATGGCCACCAAGTGCCAGAAAGGGAGGGGGGGTACCACCAGGAAAAAAGTTCCGATGAAAATGCGGCAGAGGGGACGAAGATCCACCAACTTCTTGGGGCGCCTCTCCATTTGGAGTAGGAGCAGTGCTCGGTCTCGAGAGGGAAAGTTGCGTGTGGTCGAGGGTATCTAGAACGGCTGAGGGTAAGCAACAAATCATGTTTCCTGCCTCTTCGTCCCCATCCTCACCCCTCAACTTGTGTGTGTCCACCCCCCCCCTGGAAAAAAGACCATCCTTACAGCAAATTCTGCTGGGGAAACCTGTACTCCCTGCGGGAAGAGCCCCAATCCAAGGGGGTGGACGTGCGGCAAGAGCTGGTCGACTTCCACGCCAAGCACTACCGGGCGTCCGCGATGCAGCTGGTCGTTCAGGGAGGGCAGGCCCTCGACGAGCTCCAGGCCTTGGTGCTCTCGAGCTTCTCCGGGATTGCCGCTGCCGCAGCGGGGGGGGGCGACGCGGGCAAGAAGAAGGAGAAGGGGGGGGATGAGGGCGGTTTGCCCGAGGAGTCTGCGGCGGTGGCGGCGGCGGGGCTGCCGTTCGATGACGCGGGGGCGCTGGGGAGGGCGTTTCGTGTGCAGCCGGTCAAGGACGTGCACCGGCTCCACGTGACGTGGCAACTCGGGGAGCAACACAGGTGTTGTGCCTGTTGGGGGGTCTGTCTCTGCCTGCGAACCACTGCGCGTGTGCAATGCTGTCGTGGTTGGGGTTTTTTTTTTGTCTTGGCGCGCCCCCCCCCCCCCCCCCCCCTCTTTGTTTGAGGAGCCCCGTGGTTGTCTGGGGTTCTTGGTGGCTAGGTTTGCCTTGCTTTGCTTCGGTGCTTGTGTGACAAGACACCATTGATCAGCTATACTGCTTGGAGAGCTCTCCGACCTTGGGGTTGGGTATGATCTGCGGCCTGTTATCTTGTTGACGGCCCCGTTTTTTTATGTGTTTTCTGCTGTCCATCGATGGACTTGCACTATGAGAGTTGCTGCGGCCACCGGCTTGTCCCCAGCCCCCTCCCCCCTCCCTCCTTTACAAAAGTTTTCACGAAAAAGGCGAACGCCAACGGGAGAGGTGGGTAGGGAGAGCACCGTAACGGCGACGTACGTTCCAATATTTTATATTTTACGATATTAAGTACTCCGTGAGTGTAAACTTCGGCCTGATTTTCAGATGTTTTCCAAGTTCGATTCGTACTCCGTGCGCTTGGCTGACTGCCCCCCTCCGTCTTGTAACCGCTAAGGAATGAAAAACATGAGTAACCCCCCCCCCCCCCCCCCCGCA